CCTTACTGCTTGGATGTTAACTTGAGCTTATCTGGCTGTTGACCATTTGCTCAACTGGAGACTCTTGTGCTCTTTTTATTATTATTACTCCTATGTGAAACTGCATATAGTGCAGTTAATGTTTTTAAATTCACTTCTGGAGAAATTAAACATGAGTTCATCTCCTGCTGCATTACTGAAGTAAACCAGTGAAAGATACAGCTGCACAAAACTGGCCATACTGGAATGCAAGTAATGATGCCTGCAAAGACAGCTTGGTCTATTTCTGTTCAAGCTAATATTCATTTTGTTAACCTAGTTTGGGAGTGAATGACGAGTGTATTTGCAGCTGCAGGAGGTCTCATGTAATAAGCAGTTTTAACTGTAAGCATTTCTGTGCCCAGAGGGTGTGAGTATTGAGTTGGGGGGTGGAATTGTGCATTAACTAACTATGCAGTAAAGGTATGTTCTGAGTCTGAATTTGCACAGTACATGCATTTAGTGCAGTTGCTGTTAGCTGAGCAGTCACTTCCAGTTAGGATTACGAAGATCAGATATGCTGGGACTATGTGATTTTTCTCCTTTGATAACTGAGAGCTGGAAGATGCTCTGTTAGGTTGAGGTGTACTGGGGTCCTGGTGCACTGGGCGTTGTCTTTCCACCAGAGGGAGTTTAAACGCCGAGGAAATGAATGAGGGAACACCCTTGTCTGATACATTCAGAGCTCTGCCACTGATGAGCAGAAAGTATTGCTTTTTGGCAGCTTGTGTCAGGAGTGAGATTTAATTTCACATAATGAATAAGGAATGCTGATTTTGAATAAGTAAATCTTTGTTTCCTCTTTGGCTTTTTACCTTTCAGTAGGCTTTATACATGCTAAAGCTTAGTGGCCATGATGTGGAAAATATGAAAAAAATTATACAACCTCTTGAGCATGCATAGGGTTGTGCTGAAATGGGTGCTTAAAAGAATTATTCTAGAAGGAGCAACATAAAATAACTGAAAATAATCCTTTACATGAAACCAATTATTTTGAATCAAATGTCTTTAAATTCTTAGCACCAATAGCTAATTGTTTAGATCTAAGCCACACACAGCTTTATATAATAGCTATCTGTGAAAGAGATAGTAGGATGTTACTTACTAGATACTACTCCCCAAACAAAAGGCATTATAACAAAGTGGTTAAGTGAATGCAGACTTAACTGTAAAAACAGCTTGCATTTAAGCAATAGTTACCAAGCTGTCTCTTCTGCAACTTAATTGTGCACTGCTTCTTAGTGCTATGTAAAATGCTTGATTTATTTTATGATCCTTTACACAGGATTTCCATTTTTGGCCTTAAATCTTGTCACATAAAAGCATTCCTGGACTGCAGCTCATGCCATGATTTCAGTAAGGGCATCTCTAACAGACAAATTTCCAAACAGCTTAATTGGGCTTCAGTCTCAGATGCTTGCTGTACATCTGTGTAGCTTGTGCTCTGACCTTTGTATGACAGTATGAGGGAGACCTGTCTTAGTCAAATAGTACAACTGTAGTAGTGTCTTCTACAATCAATTTCTTCAAATATATATTTAATATATATTTTGTGTTAGTTTAACAACTTAGTTGTTAAACTGAAGTATTAAGCTTTGAGACCTGAGATAAGCTCTCAGGTTATCCATTACTTGGAATTTAGTACAGCAATGATTGGATGCATATCTTTACATCTTATCAGTTGTCTGAAGAAAGTATAACTGCTATTTTCAGAAAAAAATTTTTAGCTTCGCTTAAGTTTCAAACTTAAAGTAGAAATACATGCTTTGAACACACTAGAGGAAGTTCATTTATATGCTTACTGAAGGAAATAATGGTTTGTATCCAAATATGTAGAAGGCTAAGGGGAACTGAAGAACATGCATTCATCTCCAAACCTTTGGAATCCAAGGCTTTCTTCTTGCACTTTTATGTGGATATTACTAGACTGTGAAATGAACCTGCAAATGTAGACAGTGTGGTAAAACTTTCATCCTAATTTTTTTGCCCTTACTTTGACCTTAAACCTTAAGGTGCTGGCTCATTTTTCTGGGAAGAATGAGTGTTCAGTATAGCTTTTTTTGACACGCAGGACAAAAACCCATGCTTGAAGTGTCACTGGTTTTGCAAGTTGGTCCCTATATTAGCTGGAAAAGCCTAAAGTGACCACTTACAGTGTTGAACCTCTTTGTGTAGGTACTCTTCTGCTAACAGGTTGGTCAGAAGTTGAGTGTTCAGGGCAGCCTTTGCACTCTGGTCTGCATAAACTCGTACAGTTTTCTAACACTGATGCAGCAACTGTATTAAAGGCATTCTGCATCTAATATTGAACAAGTTCTTCACCTCTTATGTGTTCTGGCATGGACAAGGTAGCATTTGTAAGTATTGAGCAGGCTAGCAATAGGCCACCTGCCCTTCGTGATGGGCATTTTGTGAGAAGCTGAGATAATATCTGACCCAACATCAACGGGTTAAGTGTTATAAATCAAATATGTTGTGGGAGCTCTATTAGTATTATTATTGTTGTTGTTGGAATTCTCTCTCTTCAATCAAGTTAAGTGACAATACTGGGAAGGATATTTGATCCTATAAAAGGTAATTTTTATCTGTTCACTCTGGGTGGAGCAAGCTTTTGTTCATGGCATCTGGAATAAGTTATTCTATGAGCTTGTCTAAATTTGACAAAACATTCTTGACTCTTACAGGATGAGACCTATTATGTTCAGTGTCTATTTAAATCAGCAGATTAAGAATGACAGATTACCTTTTCTTTATAAAGAACATTTCCTATGTCTTTTAGCTGTGTCCCCAAATAATTTAAAATTTGATTAGCAGGACTCAACTTCCAGCTGGATTTTTTTAATTATTATTTCAGTTTATTTGTATATAAATAATAGCTATCTGATTCTATTAAATCAACTTTTATAATTATTCTCAACTCATAAGGAATTATTTTAAGACCATTTTACAGCCATTTTGTTGAATTGTTTTTGATAAGGTGGCAGGGCTAAGAAATGTTGGTAGTGAGGCTAAAACTTGTATTTGAAAAATCTGAGTGAGAATGAGAAGAGAAATCCGATTTTGTGCAATTTGTTGAGATGTTTAGGTCATGAGTTTTCCTTTTATGGAAACTAAGCAAAAAACACTTAAGAGGGACACTTTATTCAGTTAATAATTGAGAAAGAATGTGTTGCTGTAGGTTAGTAAACATGACCAGGAGGAATGTTTAAGCTGTAGTGTCAGTACTTCCAAAAGGAGCACTGTTTTGTAGAACCATTGGTTGGAAGGAACCTTAGAGACCATTTTCCAACCACCCAGCCATGGGCCAGGGTTGCCTCCCACTTATCTGCCTAGGGACCCATCAAAGCTGGCCTTTCAACACTTCCAGGGGTTGGGCTAAGTCAACCATTCATCACTAGAGAAGTGAATAAAAATAAAGGAGGAGTATTTCTTTTTATTGGTGGTACTAATTTTATGTAATCTCTTTATTCTCTACTGCTCTTATTACTTTTTACTGCAGCTTACACCTCTCTCTGTGTTGTGCTGGGGCTTTCTAGCACACTAGAGTCAGATCCACCCAGACTCTGCTTACTTTCAGTCAGGTCTTTTCTCCTGGCTGACTCATTGTGTAGCCTCCAAATGGTGATGTTCCCCAGCAGGGTGTCTGGTGATAGGAACTTAGAAGGACTAGCTGTCACAGTCAAGTTTTGAAGAACCTTTAAGGATCCCTTACTTGTTCTGTGAACGCTTATATTCTCTACCATGTTGTATAATCAATGAATATAAAGATGTTACAATTGCAAAATAAACAAGAAAGTTTGGCAAAGCAGATAATAATATCAAAAAGAGAATATATGTAAAGCTTACCTGCCTCCCAGGCTCACTGCAAAACACTAGAGGAGGGATCTGGATCTCCAGAAGAGATCCTTTCCCACTGGTAGTCAGCTCTTAAATGGCTCTAGGAGAGGTGGAGCCAGGCTCCACCCCTTCCAGCAGCACAGGTGAATTGCTTTCACCTGTGCACCCATGGCTGACTCATTGCTCGCCTCAGGTGATCAATCAGAGGTTCAGGCCATGACTCAGCAGTTCCCATACACATGTAGGATAGAGGTGCTAGGATAGGCTGGTAATACTCTGTGCTGATCTTTGTTCTACAGCATTCTTCTGGCAGGCTGGAAGGAAAGTTTTGATTTACTGTAAAAAGCAAAAATTGTCTGTATTTCTGGAAGCCAAGAAAGAAGGGTATGCCGAGAATGTGGGAAGATAAGATAGATGGTTTCTTATTACTGTGGGTCACCTTTAAGGTTCATTTTGTGTATATGCACAGTTCATGTGCAGACATTATAATTTATCTTGAAGTAAACATTGCTTTTTTGAATCTTGGTAAATCTTCAAGAAAACTTTAGACTTAGCCTTGGAACATCTGAAAAATACAGTCAGAAAGTCAGTGTTACAGTTCCTTAAGGACTATAAATAAATTCTGTGATTCTCACTTCCAGAGGAAGTGAACAAGATTTTATTTCTAAGTTTATTCTACTAAATCTTACTCTAGCTTAATATCTAGGTAGGAATCCAAAAGAGGAAAGAGTAACACTGAACAGTATAGGAATTAGCATGATAATGAAATAGCAAAGACATGGTGAAATGAACTTGGAAAAAACTACATTTATCAGAACACATTCATAAGTTTGTATGCATGCTTTCCCACTCCCAACACCTGAAAGGTCTAAGCATAGTCAGGAGAAATGCTGTCTCGAGCACTCACTGCAATTATAGTATCATCTAGGTTGGAAAAGACATCCAAGATTATAAAGTCCAACCAAAAACCTGACCTACTGAATCCCATCACTAAATTGCATCTTTCCCTTCCCTGGATTTGGATTACGGTATTCAGTGTAATGATTAACATGGCTGGGTTACATTTCAAAATAATTCTTTAAAGTGAAAATGTTATAATATAATGTAATTAAAAACTTTAAAGAAATATTCTTTTTTCCCTTCAGGAAAACAAAGAAATAGACTGGAGCCTATGGATACCATATTTGTTAAACAAGTGAAAGAAGGTGGACCTGCTTTTGAAGCTGGACTGTGCACAGGTACTGTTTTTCTATAATACTGATAGGATATTTGTATACATGATGTAAAAACACAATTTAAGCTTCTACATGTAGTTCTGTATTCCATTAAACCTTCTTTCATTAGGAAGTTTATAACCTCTCTCGTTGAAATTGTCATCCAGGGATTTTTGTCATAAAAGCACCACTGTGCTTTTCCACTTTCAGGAGGTGCTACATAAAATGTATTAAGTCATAAAAGTCTAAATACTCTTCTTCATTATTTTAAGGCGACAAACAATTATATGAAAAATAAAATGGCATGGTAACCTCCTATTCCTTGTGCTTTATGACCCATTGATAATGGCAAAGCATTCAGGTTTTTGTCCTTCAAATTATGATACTATACTGTCCTTTAAATGAAATAATATTCCAAGTCTGTCTTGTATTAGATTGTGTTCAGTTGTTTCATCTATAATCTCTGGATCAGGCAGGAGGTTTTTTTCTGAAGTGCCAGGTATTTTTTAACATCTTTATTAAATATTGGAAGAAAAAAGCTATGTTAGAAGGGAAGGTCTTAAAATGATACAAGCTACGTAGATGAATTCTGTTACAAACACAGATTTCTATTCTATAAGGCAAAACGTGGTTCCTGTGAAAGGATTGTGTTTGTGAAGACAGTGAAGTGTCTGCATTTTCTTTTGAAAGCAGTTGTGTGCTGGCATTTGTCTGTATTAGAGTAATTTCTGTACACTTCTTCCTAAAGAAATAAAAAAATATTGTAGGATGATCTGCAGTTTAAAAACAATTCTAGATGCTTCTTTATAGCATATGCTATATTTTTCTTTTTTAACTTCTCCTTAAGTGGTTATTGAGGGAAGGGTTATGTTGGCATTATTTTAAGGCTATTATGTAAAGAAATGTTTTGGCTTGATAAAATGCAGCATATGTTGAAGTTGTGCAGAGAAGCCGTGTTAATTTCTACTCTGTTCAGTGTTTGCCATACTAAAGAGATTGAATCTGTAGGGGTTTTTTTGTTTGTTTGTTTTTAATTTTTAGGCGTAGAAAAGATCTTAGGAATCCAGAATGAAGAACAAAAAAATACATGCAAAGATATGTTTTTAATCTACTGGAATATTCTTTTTGGAAACACTGTAGATAGTCATTATATCTAATCAGGTCATGCTACTATTTCATGTTTATATCTTGAAATATAACAGTATATTTCAACCTCTGTATTGAAATTACATTTTAAAGCACTCAGAGAATGAACAGCAGGGTAGACTGCTTTACTTCTGATACAGACATTAAGCATTTATTTTGTAGAATCAATTGTATTTTGGCTTTGTTTTATAGTCACAATAATGGAAAAAAGGAACTCAGATATCTAATAGTAGGTAGTCACATTTACCATCATTACTGTGGGGTCTTTGTAATTACTTTGTAATACTAGCAGTCCTAACCCAAGGTTCATTACCCAGAATCAGTAAGCTGTCTTTCAGAAAGCTTACCTGGCTGCTACTCAACAGAAAGCTTGGTCCACTCTTGTAAATTTAAGGGTGTGTCTTAAATGTGAGTCAATTCATTTTGAGTATTTTTGTATGCTCTTGTAAAGTTATCTTGGCTAGAGTTAGAGACATCATACTTGCATATCTAACATCTGACGTATTTCATTAAAGAGAATGTATTGTTGTGTTCCAAGCATAAATATTTTAGATAATATTTATTGAAATGCAGACAACTCCCGTGTCTTGGTCTGAATGCCGTGACTTATATTAGGCAAGAATATCAAGGACTAAAATGTATTCAGAAAAGGAGATACTGTAAAGTGTTCAGATTAAATACCTTGATCAAAAGTATTTAATGGACCGCTGAATTGATAATAGAAATATTATTTAGGTAAAAGCCTTCATGCTTTTCTACTCTGTTTTGCAGTACAGTCTCAGGCCTTCCTCTTGATGTGAACCTGAAACTGAGCAAAGTTGTTTTCTTCAGAGCTGGCTGCAACTGCTGCTTTCAAGTAGCCAGTTATGCAGTGTAGTCCCACTTGAAGGTTTTTTGGCAGGTTCATATTCTGGTTCATTAGATGCATGCTTTCAGTTTCACTGTTTTATTTCTTTGAAAAATAAAAACTGCACAAAAATAGGTAAGATAATATGACCTACTTGCAAAGAATTCCTAATTGCATTTTCCTATGGGAATACTGAGTAGAAGATCTACATTTGTGTACAAGTTCCAGAACAACCTGGAAAAAAGCCAGTTTTAAGTTCCAGAGAAGAATCTGATGTATTCTGTGGAAGGCTTGCCATATGACCTGAAAGGACAGAGTTTAGAGAGAGAACCACAGCATTTCATTTTTCTACAACATTTTGGAAGGATTTACTTCTGTGTGATGTCAAGTATTTCAAAATTAACTTTGTTTTATTGAAGGATGGTTAACTTCTCAGCCTAATTATTTAGTGTGACTGTATGTGCAACACAGGTGTAGGGTTTACCATACATTGCAGGTGCCTAGCAATCCATGTGACCGATAGTAGTTGTTAACTGTTCACATAATGGCCTGGGTTGAAAGGGACCTCAAAGATAATCTACTTCCAACCCCCTGCCACCAGTAGGGTTTCTGACTGCTAGATCAAGCACTTACACTACAACAAGGGTCTTCCTACTTAAGTTCTTAAGAATCACATTCACTCAATGTTACCTCACATTTCTCCCTGTCAAAACAAAGAAGAAAAGGTTTTCATTTTATCATGAACGAATGAGTCTGCATTTATGACATGGTTGTGTTCTTTCTATTCTTGATTTCCTTGAGTTCTCTGTGTGGAGAATGGAGGAAGCCTGAACACGATTTTCCAAACTGGCTGCAGATATGAAACACCATTGTGTTTCCACACAGTGCAATGTGGTTGTGAACACATGTTCTTCATGCAGAGATGTGATTCTGTTGTGGCACTGCTGTCTACCCTAAAAAGTTCCACTTTGTGTCTCCAAACAAACAAGTATTCGGTAGATTTGGACTGCGGAATACTCTGTACTATGAAGCAGCCTCCTTGCAGTGACTTGGTCTCAATATATAAAAAAGTGAGACAGAATTACTGAACTTCCTTTGTTCTTATGTAAATAGGGGGGTCTGATTAATGTTTATAAATATCTAAAGGGAGGTGGGAGGCAAATGATGTGGCCAGAGTTTTCTCTGTGGTGTGTAGTGATAGGACAAGGAGCAGTGACCTAAAACTTGAACTTAGGAAGTTCCATACAAACATGGGGAAGAACTTCTTTACGGAAAGGGTGATAGAACAGCTTGCCCAGGGAGGTTGTGGAGTCTCCTTCTACGGAGATTCTCAAGATTCATCTGGATGCCGTGTTGGGAACCTGCTTTAGCAGGGGGATTGGACTCTATGACCTTTTGAGGTCCTTTACAACCCCTGCAATTCTGTGATTCTGTGATCTCCAGACTAGCAGAGCTATGTTCCCTTCATAGTTTACAAAGTAAATTAATGAACTAAAGGAGGTCTTGAAGGTGAAGAAGAGAATGATAACCAACAAATAAAGTGGCACGCAAACTTTTATGAAATGGAAAATATTACACCTGCTTAGTTTCCTGATGTTATATCATCACCTAATTAAAAGCAGTTGGTGGATCCATGTGGATTGATACATTTGAAAATTCCTGGAGTCCGTTTAGGGAATCTGCACAGAGCGCATGTTTGGAGCACTACTGCCACTGAGTCAGGATGAGTCTTCAGACTGAGCTGTTTTTCCTTTGATTTGATCACATCAAGAGGACACAAAGGACTTTCAGTTTTAAAGTGGTGTTGGAAAAAGCCATTCCCTTTGGCTAACTTCACATGGGTCCTTTTTTTCAGTTCTTTTTTCTCCAGCAGCCTTCTAAAACTCTCCAGGCCTGTAATCCTTTTAGGGACCATTTTCTCCTCATTAGTAAATTCAAGATACTTCTGTTCTTCTGATCAGAGATGACATCAGTACTGTTTTTGTTGAAGGAAAAGAATGGGATTTTCATCAAAAGCTGAAAATAGCTCAGAAGGCAAAGTTTTTCGTGTCTTCTCAGTGATATATTTGACTCTTACGATGAGATTAAAGTTCTGAATGAGGGAAGTGCAACAAACTGTTTGGAGAAATCTGATAAAAGTAATGTTAGTTCTAAAGGCTGATCAGCATGGATAAGAAATATCTCTTGGTCAATAGGGTAATGGGATGGTAATGTCTTGGAAACAGTTTGGATTATTTTGCTGAAGTAGGGACCTGGAGCACCTTTCAAACTACTTTTTGTTTTTCTCAGTAGAAAGAAGTATAGAATGATAGTATTTGCTGATAATAAAGGAGGAGCATACAGTTACCTCTGGGAGTGTTCTGAATTAATGTTCAGTTTTGTTTGGAATGAAATACCTACTTAAGACCTGCTGAAGAATTAGGCATATTTCAGTATGTAGTGTCAGACATCTAAAGCTTTATTTTGAAGACTGGATGCTTAAGTGAGCCCATGATACAGCTTATGCCTCCTGCTTGTTTTCTTTTGTGACATTCTGGGTGACTTAAATGGAAGTTTAGAATTGAACATGTTCTATGAAAAGTCTTGGAACTATACATCCTGTATATGTTTACAAGTAATTTTATTACACATGTTTAATTTTGTTCCTCTCGTGTTCTTTATTGTGACATACAGGAATGCAAAATGAAAAGGAGATGAAAAAAGTCTAGACAGGTTGATTAATTGATGATATAATTTTGGTTTTTACAGGTGACAGAATTATAAAAGTCAATGGAGAAAGTGTTATTGGAAAGACATATTCTCAAGTCATTGCTTTAATACAGAACAGGTAAGATCCTACTTTCCTGTTGTGTCGTACTTGTTCTTTATTGTAAGCAGGAAGTCGCTGCTTGCAGTGGTTCTTACTAAGTCATCGTATCATTTTCCATAGTGCACATTCAGTCTTTGTTTCCCTGTATTTTCTGAATACTGGCAAAGGTTTGAGAATGGGTGTGCTCTATTGTGCCAGTCTATTTATGTCAGTACTTGTCCCCTGTAAGCAAATCACACAGAGTGCTGTAGAGGAAAGTTGTATAAACTTCAAATAGGTTTATAAGGGCTGCATAAACACGCACATGTTTTTGCTTAAATTGAAATCAGGAAAATCTACTTTGTTTCCAAGGACTGATAACTAGAGATCAGCATACCTGATAAGAGAAAAAATGTTATGCTAGTGCATACCTGCAGAACATCTGCAGCACATCTCAGCTCTCCTTTTTATTGCAACAAGTTACAAACCTTGCACAAAGTTGAGAAATTTCATTATTTATTGCTCTTGCAACTCACAGGGGCTTGTTATATCATGTCTGTACACAAATCCAGATTCAAACCACTTTCATATCTAAAATCTGTCTACACTTTTTCTATTTTCTTGGTGTCAAGTTCAATAGGAACAAGTTTCCAATACAGTAATATTATATGGAAAGAAGATGTATTATGATGAGCATGGAAAAATGTTTTCTAAATAAATGTTGCATACCCCAGTCCCTCTTTAGTGAATCTTCATGCATTAATACTTAATTATGCTTAGCAGTAGGAGAAAGAAGGTCCTCACATTCCTAATTTAGTATAGATTTTTATTCAAGATATCACACAGAATGTGCATGTCTGAGGTTTCTGAAATGGCAAAGCTCTAGCTGAAAGTATACTGAAATGTTCAGTGTCATTAGTATTTCCAGTCCAAGAACTGGAAAGATGGAATCTGTCTTCTTCATAACATTTAAAAAAGATTGGAGGTAACACTAATCATTAATCATTTTTTCATTTTGTTTTTGTAAACACATTAATATTGTACAATAGTGTATATGTAAGACACGGAGCATAATTGTTTGCTTTGAATGATGTACCTGTTGGACATGTAATGAAATCTGTTAAGAGACTGATCACATCTTCCAGTGTTATAACAAGACAGATTCTGAACTCCTGATCTGCCTGTGAATAAAGATTTCTTCAGACCCATTAGTGTAAGTAATGAACTGTACCTCACCAGAGTGCATTCCCTGCACACTGGGGAAAAACAAAACACACTTGAAATGGTTCTGTCAGTGATTATCTACTGCAACTAGAATTGGTACAGCATGCTGCAGAATCTGTCTTCCTGATTTCCACAAATGCATAGAAGATAAAGATATTATTGTTAATTAAGAAATGAGGATATTTGTTTACCTGAGTTGAGGCATACGTTTACATCATTAATTTGGTGGCTTTCTACAAGGAGACTGATGGATAAAGGAAGAGCAACCAATGTCATCTACCTGGCCTTGTGCAAAGCAGGTGATACTGTCTCAGACAGTACCCTTGTCTATGAAACAGAAAGACGAATCTGACAGTTGGACCACTTGCTGGATAAAGAACTGTCTGGATGGTTGCACTGAATGTGTTGCAGTCGGCATCTGAATGTTGAGGTGGAGTCCCTTGGTTTATGCTTTGAGACTGTTACCATTTAACATTCAGTGGGATTGAGACATGCTCAGCAAGTTTGCAGGTGACACCAGGCTGTGTGGTGCAGCTGATGTGCTGGAGGGAAAGGATATCATTCAGAGGGACCTTGATTTTCCATGCAGTTCAGCAAGGCCGAGTACAAGATCTTAGGAATGCTGATAGATGAAAAACACGAGCCAGCAATGCGTGTGCTTGCAGCCCAGAAAGCAAGCTTATCCTGGGTCACATCAAAAGAAACATGACAGGAGGTCAAGGGAGGTGATTGTCTCGCCCTACTCTGCCCTTATGAGACCCCCACTGCAGTACTGCATTCTGCTCTGGGGCCCCCAGCATGAGGAGCACAGGGACCTGTTGGAGCAAGTCCAGAGGAGGCCATGAGAATGTTCTAAGGGCCAGAGCACCTCTCCTGTGAAGAAAAACTGAGGGAACTATGGTTGTTCAGCTTGAAGAAGAAAAGGAACCTTCCAGTACATAAAAAGGCCTACTAGAAAGCTGGAGAGAGACTCTTCTATCAGTGAGTACAGTGACAGGACAAGGGTTAATGGCTTCAGAGTAAAAGAGGGTAGATTTAGATTAGATATTAAGCAGGAAATCTTCACCATAAGGATGGTGAGGCCCTGGGACAGGTTGCCCAGAGAAGCTGTGGATGCCCCATCCTTGGAAGTGTTCCAGTGGCCAGGTTGGTTTGAGCTTTGGGTAACTGCTCTTGTGAGAGGTATCCCCTGCCTGTGGCAGGTGGGTTGGAACTTAAAAGATCTTTAACATCCCTTCCAAACCAAACTGTTCTGTGATTCTATTGTAAGATCATAGCAAAAGATCATGTCTGTTTATGAAGTTGTTTTTTTGTGTTGTTTTTTTTCAATGGAAAATATAACCATTCAGAAATTTTCAACTGAACGTCTTAAGATTAACAGATGAATACCATAAAAATAGCTTGGATTCCAAAACTAGTCAGATGCATCTTCCTTGTAGCTTAAAGGCAGTCATGGCTGTTTGTGACAGTTTCTTATATGACTAAAGAATGAACTTGCTCTTTCTTTACTGGAAAACAGTTTTGATCTCTGAGCAGTTTGTTCTGCATGTCAAGATTTTTTTTCTTGTGCTGCTGGTACCATTCTGTGGTAAGTGAAATTACTGTACCTTGTGCATATCTTGCTTTAGCATACCATTCCTGGCATCCTGGATCAGACTGATAGTCTGTTTATGAGTATTCTCTCAGAATTATTCATAATGGATTCTTGGTAGAAGAGCATGAAAACATTGGAATATAGCGTGTTTGGTCCTGTGCCTATCCAGTGTAGGTATTTGCTGAGACCAAGATTTTATCTGCATCACTTGATTTAATGGGCCTCTATAGGTTGATCTTGTGTAAGTTCACTTTTGAATACATTCAGAGTCTTGATGTTAAAATCGCCCATTTCATCATTGCAGCTCTTGTTTGCGTCTTAGCTAGTTTTTCATCTGTCACTTCATAGTTTCTTTAGTAGGTTTTGTGCAGGAGACTTGCTGAAAAGTCTTTTGAAAAACTGAGTTGTTGGCTGGGATCTCCTTTATTCATGACTAAAACCAGTTTCATTTTTAATCTGTATGGTGTGATGATTTTCTAGACATTTTAATTGCAGTATTTTTAATTAATATTTTTAATTACATTCTCAAACATTGCCGACTGTGAATGCTTGTTCTTTCATACATGTATCATCTTCAGAGTGCTTTATGTAAGAGTACAATGTATATTATCTTCTGCAACCTCTGAAGAGTTGTCCTCACTCAGGGTTCAGCAGTGAAAATCAGCTTAGGCTTCCTGGTTTTTTGAATCAGATTGCTTTTGCAACTTTATTTCCATAGCAGTTCACTGTTTTTCTGGAAAGCAGTTCAATTGTAGATATTTGTTTTCACAATAGAATGTTGCAGATTTCAGAACTTAGTCAGCTTCTTCATGCACCAGGATGGATAATGTTAGCACTGCAGTTTTTTCTCTATTTTAATACCCATGTTTTGGTTTTGTTTTGGAAGCAAATAGCAATAATTTGGAAATAACCAGCCTTTTGTTTCAGTGCTCCTGCCCGAACAGCACTGGTAGCTTGGTAACTGAAGAGCTGTTTCTCTCAGGAGTGTTTTAAGGAGACACAGTGGTATATTTTTGTGGCTTGCAAGTCATTTCCTTGAGACATTGATGTTTATGTGTTTTAATACAACTTCACCTTTAACTGGCACAAGCAGGCCCCTGGTGTGCTGGGGAGCTGGCAGGCCCAGACAGCAGTGTGTGCTTTGATTCTTCCAAAATTCTATCTTCCAGATGTTTATTTTCAGATATCTTATCAAGGTGAACATATGTTTCTATGTGTCTTACATTAACAGCTGCTGGCTGTTAAGGTTTTGTAAATGCAGAGAAAATGCAGGTCTTGGAGAAGCCTGAGATTCTGTCATCAGCAGGATGAAGATGTGCCTGATGGATGCTGCTCACTGAGCAGGGGCTGTGGACATCAACAATACTGTGTGCTCCATTTTGTTGAGAATTGGGATAGCTGGACTTGATGATCTTGAAGGTCTTTTCCAACTTAAATGATTCTGTGATTCTTTGCTGGATTCATATGAATGTGTTTTGATGTTGAAATGAAGGCTTCCTATAAATTCCAGTGAAATCGATGGATTGACTAGAATTCAAACATGTTTTGTATTGTTCTTGGAAAGTTTTATTTACAAACTGTGAAGGGCATTATTTGTTTTCCTCTGGTTGGAGATGATGAAGTTAAGCTTGCACTGATTACTTCCTCTGGATAATGAACGGCACACCTCAAAAGAGTTTCTAGAAAGAATCGTTTCCTTTAAAGATTAGTTGGAAGATCACTGTGAAGTCTGGGTTTCCTGGTCTTTGCATTTGATTGTTAGTTTGGTTTATTAAGAATTTATTCTCATCTGTTTATATAATCAGCTTGGAGATGTGCAGATTACTAATGTAAACTCCATAAATTATTTATGGTTCCATTTAGAAACAAACCAAAAAACATGTACTGATTGCCAACTGTTTCTTTGTTGGCGCTTTTGTTCTGGTTTCTTTTTGCAAACCCATCTTGAAAATGCTGTTTATTCAGAAACGTACAGCTTAGCTATTGAATTTGTTGCATTACTCCAAAAGAACGCATGAGAGTAGTTACCATGATGACAGCCCATCATAGTGCTTTAGTTTGATTCCTCCAAGTCAAGTTTAAATTTTACTCAGAAGTGTAATGAAAATAATTTGCATTATAGATGTCCCTGAGAATTCATAATGCTGTATGTAATGTTTTAGTGTAAGCTGATGCTTGCTTTGTGTCATGTTTTTTATTTGTGTTTTCTTCATTATGTGTATGCATGTTGTAGTACAGTAACTGAAAACTGTTGCTTAATATACTTATTTCTGATGCTAGAATTGAAAAACACTGAGTGCTCTGAAAAATATATAGAGCAGAAAGATCCAGATTGTCTCCAGAGGGTTCTGTGGGCAAACTGGAATGGGCTGGTTAAGTGGTAATTTGAATAATTTATAAAACATTCTTCCTGAACGGAACCTCTGTCTTCTTTCAGAAGTTTAAGACCAAAGAAGGTCTTAAACTTTTAATCCTTTTTTAATACATATATTTTTTGAACGACATAATATATTTGTATAAAACAATTGTTCTGTGTTGAATTGTAAGTAGGAGAATTTCATTTATGTAAATAATTTTGAAGATGAGCAATGTTGTATATCATACCGTTAATTTCCAAAGTTTACTTTGATTGTTATCCTCATTGCAGCCTTTCAGTACCTAATGGGAGCCTACAGAGGGGAGGGGAATCAACTCTTTGAAAGGGTTGATAACTGCAGGATGAGGGGAAATGGTTTTAAGTTGAGGGAGGGGAGATTTAGGTTGGACATCAGGGGGAAATTCTTTACAGAGAGAGTGGTGAGGTGCTGGAACAGGCTGCCCAGAGAGGCTGTGGATGCCCCGTCTCTGGAAGTGTTCAAGGCCAGACTGGATGGGGCCCTGGGCAGCCTGGTCTAGCATTAAATGTGGAGGTTGGTGGCCCCGCATGTGGCAGGGGGTTAGAGATTAATGATCCTTGAGGTCCCTTCCAACCCTGGCCATTCTGTGATTCTGTGATCTTGCAAATAAGCACTGATTAATAAGTTGTCTGTTAGGATTTAAGAATAAATGTAAGCATGTGCTATCCATGCTTAGGAATAGAACTCTAGACACTTTTTAGATACTGTAGCTTTGGGCATTTCCTTCTATTACTTATTACTATGTATAATTACTATTATTATTTCAATTTTACAGCTAGAAAATAATTAATTTAACCCATACTTTATGCAATAGTCTCTCCTGGTGGCGCTACTGGCAAAGAATCATTTAACATAGTTCTGCTTTTTATGTCTTCAGTCAAAATGGGAAGTGCTTTTCTAAATGCACATGGAAGATATGGGTCAGTATTTTTATTTGTCTTAAAATTCAGTATTCTGAAAAACTCCAAAAACATTTTTGAAGATTTATTTTTCTTAGCTGTGCATTGATCTAAAAGGAAAAGTGTTAACCTCTCACTGATGATCTTTGGTTTCAAACCTAAATTAATTTGTGCTTTTTAGAGAACACTTCTTACAAGACGAAAAATGGATTGAGAGTATTGTGAAAGCTAATACCCTTACTCTGCTATTTTGGAATGCAGCCTTGTGTCTGTGGCCAGTAACAACTGGAAGAGGAACCGCAGATGAAAACATTTTTCATGTGTGAAAGCATAATAAATCACATATTAGATTTTTGAAATGACAATTTTCAGTTCTGCAGGAATAAGAAATAGAGATCTTTTCCAGTGCTATCATAGGCTGTCTTGTATGTTCTGAAGTGAGTGGCTAGTCTCTGTGCTGCTTCTGTCTTTTCTCAGCACTGCTCAGTACAGATAAGCTCAGTCCTAGTCTGATCTGTCCAGTTAGATTATTTTCTTTTGGTTCTTGTGCTGATAACTAGCCTACTTTTTTTTTTTTTTTTTTTAATATCCTTTCTTTTTTCTAGGATTTCTGAATGTGAGATTATTAGATATCACATAATCTCTTTGTTTTCTGTTTTGTGAGTCTAGTTAAAACAATCTGTACCAATCGGTCCATCTCATAGCCCTTCTTTGGACCTGTTCTAGTTCACATTTAATCAAAGTGTTACATTAACTCAGATGACATAATAATGAATTCAGCTATTCTTTATCCAGTGTTCTGAGTATATTTTTATTTCTTGCTCATGAAAAGACTTTGCTCTGATATGTGCTAGGCATAGATTTCACTGCTTTGCAGTATTTAACTCTGGATAACCATTAATTAATTTTATATTCAGTGCCCTGATTTGCCTGTATTTAAATTATGTATATTGAATGGTACAGGTGCCAGGATCTCTATTTATCACTTCATATAAAGTGCTGCTTTTGGTTTCAGCAGTTCATACCGGCAATCTCAGCACTTACAAAACCATATGTTCTTCACCTGTTTCTCAGATGTCATTTGACTAAGTATGTTTAGGTTGATTCTGTTGGGGGTGGTGTGAACAGAACGGTACAAGTCAGTGCTTGTCTTACTATTGCCTGACATTTCATGTAATTTCATTATGATATTTCCCCAGCAAAAGGTAAATTTTACTCATGCTGAAAGATGTTACCTTGTTTTGTCTGAGAAGCTCCAATCAAGTAATACACATCAGTACTATGAGTAATGAAACAAAACTCATGAAGTATATTGGCTTAATGTACTGGTTTTAGAGAGAATGCAGATGTACTCTTCAGGTAGATTTCTGTTCTGCTGTTATTTGCTGGGACTCTGATGGAAGTTAATTGATCATCTTCATAGTATGAATTGAAAATATTTTCCAAAAGTTAACATGTGATATTTTTTTTGTTTCAGTGACAGCATGTTGGAACTCAGTGTTATGCCAAAAGACGAGGACATCCTTCAATTGGTATGTTTATGAGGCTTACATTCAGATGTACGCTGACTAAAGAAAAATAAAGTTCTGCTATTGATTTTGAAGTCTTTGAACTGTGATAGTAGCAAGTAATTAAAGTGTTAATATTTAGTTGTTTTGACACTCATTAGATGTTCTCCTACTTCTTTGCCACCTCTAACATTTCAGAGGAATCCAAAGATATGGGAGAATGCCTGCTTCATATGATATTTCTAGTATCTTGTTTAGAAGAGAAGATAATCTTAAAATAATGTTTATATTTTTATTTAATTGTCTTCAGTTCCTTATGTTAAAATTTATGAATTGGGTCAGTTTCTGTAACTAGCGTTTCTAATTGTAAAGGAACTGAGAATCATTACTAAATCTAAATTAATAAATTAGCATATAGAGCTTAAAATTAGTTTTTGTTAATAATTCACTAATTCTTAATAGATTTATGTAAAAAAATAAAAAAGCAATGTGATGATTGCCCTGAAGTGATTACCAATTTTTAAAATTGTAACTGGTGTAAATATTTTGTTACACTATTGAACCTGTGTTTCATATTTAAAGTGATGTCCTGCTATAGGTGAGGTGATTCAGCTCCCATGTAGTGTCTCTAAGTTCAAAAGAGCTGGAAATGAAATACTATATGTAAGTGTGTATTTTGAATAATTGGAGGAACACTCAACGTATTGGCATTTAGTTTATTTTATAATTGGAAATAGAGGAAGGGAGATGACAGCAAGGTAGATTTCGTGGTTAGCAGTCAGAAAACTGTTTTCTAATCTACACAGTAGTAGTAAGACTTGATTTTAAATAACTGCTAAGAAGGAGCTGTGGATTTTATTAGCTGTATTTTCCAGCATTAAAGGATGAATAGGCCGACAGGCTAAGTCTATTAGCATGGTCATAATATTTTGAGAATGTTTTACAAAGAAATAGTCATTATTACAGGAAACACTGGGGCCGTGGAATGAGTTTGGGTAGCGGGAGATGGTGTCAAAGGCTTTGTTCAAATGTAGATATACTGTGTCAACAGCCTTCCTCTCATCCACCAAGTGAGTCACTTGGTCATAGAAGGACATACAGCTTGCATGAGTTCCTTCTGATTGCTGTTGGTCTGCTCTTATGATGGGTTGATAGATGATTGTGATGTGACATGAAGGAATTTTTCTTCCTGTTTGCTGTGATGTGTTTTTTGGATACAAACAGGCCTGTCTTGTGGACTGTTGGTTTCATGTATCATCTGCTAGAGGAAAACTCTGAAGAGACAGATGCTTTTTTGTATTCTGCAGGACTGACCATTGAGTGTATTCAGACATATCAGAAGCAAAAGGTTTTGGATAGCTGCAGTTTGTCATGCAGAAGAGGTGTCAGTCTTTGATAGCAGAGTTGCAACACCTGAAAATGTAAATAATAGAAATGAATGGCATTGTACAGCAGAAGTCATTCATTTGTCCTGTGGTTTTTCTCCCTTGTAGAACATCACAGGGAGAAATATATTAGCTTTTAAAATAACAGTTAGCATCCTTTTGAGACATGGTCCACCATTGTAACTTCACTCAAACAGAAAATACAAGTGATTCCTCTGAAAATGGCGACTGATCGTCTTCAGCCCTCGGATGTTAGGATCTAGCTGTTCTAATGATAAGATTGGTAAATAACTTGGCTCAAAGCTGAACACCCACCTTTAAAATGCAGTATCTTCGAAGATACAGCCCAGGATGTTACTCCTTTTACTTCTTGTTTTCAGAAAAGAAATTGTATTTTGTGTTTGTTTGTTTGTTTGTTTTCTATTCTTATCCTTTTCCATTTCTGGAAGTTGTGTGTCTGAGTGAAGTACAAACCTCATGGTAAATTCTTATTCCTTGATGAAGTACGGCTTACCTAAGTGATAACAATCTCTAGTAGTAGTTTTCTGTCAGTGTACGTTCAAAATAAATGACAAACTGCAAAGTACAGTACCCTTATTAATACAGGAATCAAAACACACTTGTGACAGAAATTTAATGTTAACATTAAGTTATTACCATAGTAATTTAATGTTTAGTTGTTTGGGATTTTTTGACATGTGTCAAATTTCACTAAATATCTTCATATGGCATTATGTAAACTGTTGACATAAATGCAGGTTTACGATACCTATTTACTAATAGGTATCGTAGTAGCTAAAGAAAGGTTTATCTGCACAATTAGGAGAAAATAGTTTCATTATATTCAAGAATGATTCTGGCTGTGTGTGTTTGTATTATTTCCCAGTCTACTTGGTGTGGTAATGACTGGTTAGGAACATGAGCACAGTTACTTGCTCCTATAAATGTTAAGATAAAGTTTATAGTTTAGTCTTAAGAAATGTTGTCTGTGAATTCTGTTGAATTTCCTAAGAGCAGTGCTTCAAATCTATTCATTAGTAGAAGCAGAGGTGTGTTCTGGTCCATGTTTTGTTGCCTGCTGTGACGTGCATGCCCTCCTTACTTAGAGGGGAATTACATGTGAAATTGTGTCATTAGTGAAGTCACTGTCAAAGTCATGTTCGTTCATTGGTTGACTGATCTTGGAAATGACATTTTGGGGATGGGGGGAAAGAATGTTTAAAAGCATCTCTGTCCATGGCAAAAGCTTAGTCTTGATAAGAACCTTTTCTTCATGCTTCTTCCCAAAATTGAGATTTGTTTACTTAAGGTTATCTTTTTTATAACTTTGAACTATTTCATATATATTTTGATTATATAGACCGTTACTAAAATATAAAATTTGTAATCTGAATTAGACTATTTATATTTTGAAGCAAATGACGCAGAAGAGTAGGTGAAAGGACAGACGACAAAGTTTTAGTGCAGATGGACTTTGATATTCTTGAGAATTAGAGCAACAGATGCCTCATGACATTAAGTGAGGAAAATATAAACTTTGCTTGACATGCATAATAGCCTCATGCGTTAGTGCAGATTGGGAAGCAACTGGCTGAGTAAGAGAAGATGAGCCAGAGATTACAGTAGACACAGGGTCAGTGAGTCAGCAGTGTGCTCTTGTGAGGTAAGGCAAATAACAGGCTGGGCTGCATTAGGGGCACCACATCCAGCAGATAACAAATGAAGGAAGTTGTTACCTTCCACCACCTGAAATGCTGAAGTGGCTATTCCTGAAACTTTGTGACTAATTCAAGGAGGGTGAGAAAGAACTAGAAAAGTCCTGGAAAGAGCTACTGAGATGGTCAGGGTCTTCAACATGCAGCCAGTGAGGAGACCGGTTCAGGAGCTGGGATTTAGCCTTGGAAAGAGGTGGCTAAAGGGTGATCTAACAGCAATCCACAGTTACTAGGATAGTTACCAAGATCATGGAGATACGGTTTTGTCAGTAGTATCTTAGGAGATTCAAATTAGACATCAGAAAGGGTAAAATAGTAGCACAATTTTTTTTTTTTTCTTTTACTGAAAGGGTAAGCGCTGGAATCATTGCAGATGGTAGCTCCATCTGTGAAAGTTTCTGAGACACAGCTAGACAAAGCAATGGCTGAATTGGAGAGTGTTGGTAGTAGCTTAGTGTTGAGTGGTAGATTAAACAAACAACTCTATTTCTATATTAAAAATTTTCCTCATGGCTTCAGTTTTGGCTGGGAAGGTTTCAGAATTTCAGCACAGATGTCTGATTTTCCAGCTAAGTTAGTCAGATATGTTTTTGCGAACTGAGGGCTGTGGACCTTTTTCCAGATCTGTGCCTATAGTGTTTCAGACCACTTTGGAATAAAAAATAAAAATAAAAATAAAAAAACTTGAAGGAAAGAGAAGTAAGAGCACTAGAGTTTTAGTTCCAGTATTCAAGGTTCACATTGGGTCACCTGTTTGTTTTTGTGGATTTTAAATTCTGTTTGTTTGTATAAATTTTTAAGGGAAGGCAAGTGTACATGGCTAACTCAGGTGAACTGATGAGGATGCTGAAAGAGAAGTGAGAGATCGGAACAAGTGGTTTTTCTTCATAGGTAAAACAAGGATTGGCTGGAAGTACAGGAATGCACAAATTAAATGGAAATACAAAAATAGCAGGTATGATAAAAAGGGAAGGAAAACAGGGTTTGGGGGCTATTGTTGGAGACAGATCTGCCTTATCAAGCAGGAATTAGGAGGCAAAAATAGAAAATGATGGTCAAAGACCATAATAAGTGGTGGTTTGCACAGTTTTGTAGGTTGCAGAGCAAACTTCCTAATTTCTTCTGAAAGAATCAAATTAATTAGGACTGAAGCTCAATTATGTAATGCTAATTTTTTCTTTAAAAGCGTGGCTTTTTGGACTGTTTCATTTTATGTAATAAAGGTACAGAAATACGCTTTTTGTATGCATGCAAAACAGTGTCAGTTGAGAAACTGCAAAATTATTATGTAAGTTGTCATTATGTTCTATACTATGAAAATTTGAAACTGTTATTAATGTGCCTTTTTAACAGTCAAGATTGAAAACAAAGTGGAGAGACAATTTTTTATCAAGAAAGAGCAGAATGTAGACGTTTGGAAAATAATACAGTTTGTCATTTAGCTTGCCAAAAAGAGATGGCAGAAGAAGGGCTCAGATAGATACGCTGGAAGCCTTTACTTTTGATGAAAAAAATATACATAAAGGACAACAGTGCCTGAATTCAGAGCTTAAGAATAGACTGTGATACCTGCTTGTTGCCAGAAGGCCCACAGTAATGTCAGTCTGTGGTTATCAAACATATTTCGAACAGCAATCTTTCATCTCTCTCCGTTTATGGTTTTATTTAAAGAAAACTTGTTTGTAACCATTTTGAGACCAAAAAGAGGAAGAGAAGGTTATAAAATGATTGTGTTTCAAGTTAGATCTGTGTACATAAAATTTGTATAGCATTTTTAACCTTTTTTTGAGAGAAATTAGGAATCTTGTATGTATTAGTACTGGAGATTTCATGTAGACAACACGTAGTTCATTTTCTTAATTGTATTTAATCAATTGTTACTGTTTCATAGCCTTCAGGTTAACAAATTTAATACTTGAAAAACACAACAAGAGGTGATCAAATGATGACACTCTTCAGTCATTCAGAAGCTCTCCATATGATGCAAAGGTCCGGTGTAAATGCACTCTATAGAGAGATTTGAAATTGTTGAGCCTGCTTTTGGGTGAGCCTTAGTGCTGAACTCCTATCAGTAGACTTTGTGCTGGGGGTCTGTGGGGTTTGGGAGCAGGCTTTTGAGATACATTTGTGTTGGAATTTACGTGTTTGCTGATTACTCAATGTGTAAATAAAGAAGAACGTAGTGTACAAGTCACTGAATTTTAAAGTGTCAGGCACATTTTAAGATACCCCTCTTCAAAACTTCCATCTTGAACAGGACCTGTTGTATGAATTGATGCTGTGCATGTGGAAAGTTTTTAGTGTAACTTAATGTTTATAAATGCGTGCATAGACTCAGTTGGGAAATAATGAATACCAGCAAATCCATGTGAATTTCAGGGGGTTAGTAAAATGTTGTGTAGAATGTCTTATTTGCTTAAAACAATTTATTTTTCCTATCATAAGGCATGACTGTGTCACCTCCTCAGTTCCTAATCCAAATGTGCTTACACAAACTCACAGTAAGAAATTCACTCTTACTCTTTGGAGTTTGCAGGTTTGGTGCAAGCAGAGGCAGATGGTGAGGTGAGAGAGAGATTGCTCCCAGTAACTGGAAGCACGCTGAATTCTTAATAAGCAGTCAGTAGTTTTATTTCAGAAATGAAATATTATCTATTCAAGATACTAATATTCCACTGAATTGTTGTATGGTGAGCTTTCCATGATGTCATGTGTTGTTTTTTTGTGTTCTGGTGGTGGTGGTGGTTTTGTTTTTGTTTTTTTTTTTATAAGGTGGGGAAAAAACTTTAAAAAATGTGAAGACTGATTTTTTGCATCATGGTGGAACTTCCAATGAACTGCTGAGTACTCAGCTCCCATAGGAATTCAAGGAGTCCGGCAGGTGTCTGTATTGGGAAGTTCTCATCTGGATTTTATATTTCGTTTTAAGCTGGAAGACTGCTTTGATTTTGTTTTGATTTGTTTTTAAAAGACTAAAGACTTAAATTTGATTTATATTCGAAGGGCTTATCAGTAAATTTTCTGTTGAAATCACAGACTAAGTTCATATTTTCACATATCACTAGAAAAACTAAGATGAGACAGTAATATTCAAACTGCTTTACATATTGTAGCAAAATACACTAAGTAACTAAGCAGCGTATGACTACAAACAACTATATTGGTGTGCTTCACATTTTTATTGACTTAAAAAGTAAAAATTTAACTATTGCCTTTCAATTGAAGCAATTAATATATTTTGTAATCAAAAGGTTGATAATGCATCGTTCAGCGTGGCATTATTTGAACAGAGATCAATTCTGATGCATTTATTTCTTTGGAAGTTGCTCGGCCTCTGCAGGACTGTAATCAGGATTATGAAACAGAGCTTAAATCTTCCTTTTACAGAAATATCACAGCTCTTAATATAATTTATCTTTCTTGGAAGAAGGTTTGTGTTTGTTTTAATGATTTCTTGGGAAATGAGTGGAATGAAATTAAAGAAGTATATTTCTCCTTTCATCAGAATATTTTGTTCATAATAATAGAGTCTTTCAAATATATCTGCAGTCATGAAAACCTGCTCTTTATAGGGAGGGGGCAGGGCAGTGGAAATCTAGCTGGCCTTGTTTTGGTCCCTGTACGAATGTTTGTTTCTGAAGAAGTTTTAATATCTGTGGTTGATTTTTGTCAGGACCTAGGAATTGATTTTGATACTCATTTGTACTATGCAGTTATGATCAGATCACAGCAGCTTTGGAATTCAGCCTTTCTGCTGTCAAAGTCAATGAAGCATTGTCTGTCGTGGGCGTGTTTTACGGAAGCATAAAGACAGTGTATTTTATCTTGACATAATATGCCTATCCCACATTTTAAACTTCTATCAGCTCTGTAACATGGTAATTCTTTTCTGATTTGGGTGAGGGGTTGTTTTTGCTTATCTTGCATGCCAGTGACCTCCTTACCATCTGTTTTCTTTTTCTTTGGCATTTTTTCCTTTTTTTTTTTCTTACTGCCTACCACAATCTTAAATAACCATTTTATTGAAAGATTTAGAAGTATTTATCTTTGTATATTCCTTCCCTTCATTAAATGTGTCACGTGCAGAAGTAATCTGGCTTGATTTAATTTTTCTTTTCTTTTATTTTATTTTACTACGAATGGAGGAAAAATAAATCACATGAGGGGAGTGTTTCTGCAGCATCATTCCTCCAATTTCAGATGTATAGCATGAAAGCAGCTGCAGTCAGCTGACAGCTTGTGGTCGTGTTGAGATGTATGTGAGGAAGGGGCGTGCTGTTTTAAATGCATAATAAAGCTGTTGTTTCGTCACCAGGAAGCAGGGATGGGAGAAACCCAGGGGAAATGAGAGACAGTAATGTTGCTGTAGTGGAAGGGAAGTCTTGATTATTAGAACCAGAGCTCTCTGCAGGCAGCCGTAGGGAAGCACCAAGGCAAAATGGCACAAATGTATTTTGTTTTCTGTAGGGGTAGGAGATAAATGCAAGCAGCAGATAAAATCCTGAGATGGACACGCTCAGAAGGAGGGCGAAGTTATTTTTTATGCTCTACTGCCCTTTACCTCTATTGGTACCTTCCAGTGAAATCGGTGTAGTTGTATTTTTAGCTTGCTGTATCCAACATCAATATGAAAACATAATTCTGTCTTTACATCTGTAAGCAGCTTTTACTATGTTTTCCTGTTTTCTGCCAGCTGCAGTTTACAAAGGATGTCACAGCACTGGTAAGAAGCATACAGTAGCCATTTCTGATTTTCTGTAAGGCATGTTTTTCTTAAGTGATTTGTGAGAAGCAAGAATAGGAAACGACAAGTTTGTTGGAAATGACATAGGTAGAGCTGAATTCTCTTGATAATGCTAATATCTTAATTTGTGGTTTGTGCCTGTTAACTTGGTTGCTTTTCTTTCAGTGTGCCTTAATATTTCACTAATGCGTAGCGTAACATTTATTGCACCAATGTTTTAAATGCCTCACCCACCTCTGTACTTTGCTCTGTATTAATTTTATGGCTGCCCTTAGACTTTTGTAATCTGTAGTGCTAAAACAGGACACATTGATATTCTGGGTTTGAGCATGTTATGATTTGGAGAGCAAATGCTGTGATATGATACCACACCTAAATGTGTGAAAGCCTTGAGAAATCATTTTAATCTTCAGTTGCATTGGCAGGCTCTGCTGTTGGCTATTTATTTCATTATGTTTAAACTGAATGGAGTCACGCTGAAGTTTTTAAGTAATGGACTGTCATTTAGAAATGCTGTATGCTCCTCATTAACTTTTTTTTTGTATGTGCTGTTAATTTCAAAATGGTAAATGTTGCTTTTCAAAAATGAGGCTACTGAAACATGTTACATTCAGTATAACCATTTTTTCTCAGGAGGCAGGCTCTAAAGCATAAAGATGAAAATAAAAGCACTAAGGAAATAAATTTGAAATTTAGTTTGTTTTAATATTGTGTAGCAGTAGTGGATATGTGTGGATTTTCATAGTGTTTGCATCTCAAAGTTTAAAATGATGGATATTATTCATATTTTTGCAGTAAAATTTGTGTACCATGTACTGGCTGTCTTCCATAAAATGTAAGATTACTTGTAGGGTATTGGCTCACAACAAAGATTGTTACTGCTTCAATTTATTCATTTTATGTTTACGTACAGTAGCTTTTATGTAGAAGACATCTTAGATGAGTGCGTGTGTATATGAGTGTGTGTACTTTCACATGTACTAAGTGAACTGAGCTCTTCTATACAGATATGACTAGAGAATTTTCTAGTGCTAGCTGAATTTATTGTGCAGCATTTTAACCTGTCAATTGCTGTAAAATTCTGGTCCCCAGCAATACAAAGCTTAAATAGGAAGGATATTAGTAGAATTGTGATTGAAAGCAAAAATAAAGGTTGAGAAAAATGCTGTTTTCTGCTCATGGATTTTTGGCAAACCTGACTTGGTGCTCTACCTGTGCTATCTCCTAGCATTGGTCATCAGTTCAGCTACTGAATTGTTGGGGGAGGGGATCTATTTAATTATTTTGTTTATTCTGTTTTGTGTTCACTAAGGGGATGGAATGCTATTCTTAATTTTTTAAAGTAATATTTTGTCTAAAATTACACATACTGTGAATTTCAAACTTGTGTTCCATCTCTTGAAGTTTGTGCAAATGCTATATTTGTGGACTTCCATCTCCTTTACTACTTAATACTCACAGAATCTTCTGTCCACAGGCTTATTCCCAAGATGCCTACCTGAAAGGCAATGAAGCTTACAGTGGTAATGCCCACAACATACCTGAACCACCACCAATATGTTATCCACGCCTGACGTCTACCACTTCTGTTGTGGCACAAGCTGGTGACAAGCTATCTTCTGATTTCTCACTGGGGAAACAGCAAGTCAGCAGACCAGTACGGGCATTGACACAGCCAGAGAGGGCTTACAGAATGGAAATACAAGTGCCTCCGTCACCAACAGACATTGCAAAATCAAATACAGCGGTGTGTGTTTGCAATGAAACTGTAAGGACTGTTATTGTGCCTTCTGAGAAGGCTGTAGATTTGCCATCTTGCAGAAATAATCATGCTGGTCCGTCACACAGGACAGAAGAAATAAGATATGGCTTAAAAGATCAAACCGCTCTAAAAGCACGAACCACATCACCATCTTCTTCAGTGTCCACTGCCATTGTACTTCCACAGACACCATTAACAAGGCCAGGTGATCCAAATGGAACAGTGATTAAGGCTTCAAATTATGTAGTATGTCCGGAAGGAATCCCGAGCACTAGGTCTTCTGTTCAAGCCACGGACTCTCCCTCTATCTCTACAAATCATTACAGTTCTCCATCCTCACACCAGCACATAGACTGGAAGAACTATAAAACCTACAAAGAATATGTTGATAACAGGCGCATGCACATGTATGGCTCCCGAACGATACAGGAAAGATTAGATAGTTTAAGAGCAGCTTCTCAGAATACAACTGATTATAATCAAGTGGTGCCAAATCGCACTGCTTCACAGGTACGACGCAGGAGCACCTCTCATGACAGGGTTCCACAATCTGCACAGATCCGGCAGCGAAGTGTATCCCAGGAACGACTTGAAGATCCTGTGTTGATGAAAGAGTGGCCACGAAGTGCTTCACAAGATACACTGACTTCACCTTCAATTAGTTCTAGGAATCACAGGGCTCGGTCATGGGATTATCTCAGCAAACAGGGTGAAATGCTAGAAAATTTTCATTCAGAGAATCTGATAGCAGACTCAAATGGAGATAGGAGAAAGGCTTACAAGTGGACAGGGTTTTCTGAACAAGATGATCGGCGAGGTATTTATGAGAGACCTAGACAGCATGCATTTCATATGTCCCTTCGAGGTCAAAATTTTCCTTTGGCTCCAAGTGGTTATATTTCAGATGGTAGGAGAGTAGGCAGTAGAGCTTCTCTGCCTGGTTCTCATTTTCAGAAAGTTTCACCAGATATGAGAATGTTGCAGCCTTCTCGAGACTTGCAAACTCCTGGGGGAATTTCAAAACCTACGGCTGTTTCACAAGAAAGGACATCTCTCACAACAGCCAGAAGTTCTAAAAGTAGCTCTTTGAAGAACTCCTCCTATGCAGCAAAACCATCATTTCCCCTTAACCAGAGCTTGGATGTTGTTGCCAGCAAAGACCAAAGAACTGTAAATCATTTGCATCAGAGTAGCCTGTTAAACCAACAGTCAAGGACCCGAGGAGAAGATGCTCCAGATCACAGAACAGAAATGGGCAAAACCATGCAACCCTCCTCTTTGTCTCCAACCTCTGCCAAACTTGTTCAACAAGCAAGTGAGAGTTCAACTACCTCTGATAATACAGGTGTTTCCATCAGAAAAAGAAGTCATGATTTTGAAAGAGAAAACACCCATGAGCCTGAAATTCTGCAAACAGATGTTCAAGGAAATGACAAAGATGCAGTTGTCATGCGGGACAAATCACCTTCTGGCCACCAAACTCCACAGCCTTTGAGGCATCAGTCCTACATTCTTGCAGTCAATGATCAAGAGGCAGCCTCAGATACCACCTGTTGGTTACCTAATGATGCTCGGAGGGAAGTCCACATAAAACGGATAGAAGAAAGGAAAGCATCAGGTTCCACCCCACCTGGTGATTCCTTGGCTTCTATTCCATTTATTGGTGAGTTGAACTGTTAAAGTATACATTGTGCTTTTCTCTGTTAAAGAAATTGGAGAGCACCATGCTGGGTTGCTGACTTCTGTCCTTGAGAATCCTGGGGTTGAGGGCTCTTTTCTCATTTCAAATAATATTAGTGTGGTAAAAGCTGAAAGCAGTTTTCAATAGAGGAAAAAATACTCTTGTTTAGAATCTTGGATCAGTTTTAAAAACTCTACTGTGATTTAATTTTTCTAGAATGTTCCTTAACCCCCCCAGAGAAGTCTCTGTTATGTAACTGTCTGGTGATAACTCCACTTACTGCTCTGATGTTATTTGTGTGGACACCTAGCAGTTACAGTGCCTTTCGGAACATATTTACCTTTACAGTATAAAACATGTAATCCAGTAAAGGGAAAATAGGGATGTAACAATTTGTGAGGAAAAAAATTGATTTTTAGACAGCTGAAAAGGTAAGGAGAAAGCTTTCTGAAACAGGTGAGGCTTTGTAGAAATGAAGGCTGTTTCAGGTGAAAGAATAGCAGTAAAATGAGGTGAATTCACAAATAAATAAGCTAATGAGGTTATGCATTAAAAGATTTATGAAAGCAAAAGACGCAAAAATTCACCTTTGCCTGTGATGTAAAAAGTGTCGGAATTCTGTAGATCTTGAATCATATAGTCTGAGCACTTTTCCTTTTTTCTTCCAAATTATCTTTAGCCTATGGAAGGATTGTAAGTAGTAGCAAAAAAAATGATCAGGGAAAAGTTTCAGGGTGTGGAATCATCTGCAGAAGAGAATTTCAGTGACACAGTGAGTTTCTGTTCTACTTCAGTGTCTGTCTTCTGGATTTTTGGTTGCGACTGGTTTCAGCCTTTGGAGTCCAGATCTCTGCAGACCATTTTCCACACAAGCTGATTTATATCTGTGTTTTCTTGAGTTTAGTATAGCAAGTATGTAAAAAATACCAAATTTTGATTGTCAAAGTTATGTATATGAAAACCTAATCCATAAAACCGTCAAAGAGTATTTAGGAACCGTTGAAGGGAGTTAGAGCTTTCTTGCTTTAGTGCAGTTGTCTTCTAATACGGATCTGTAGAATGACTTTTCCCCCTGAAATTATCTATGTTATCTGCTTAAAGACTGAAATAATTGAAGGAGATTTGTGTTTATTGTAGAATAGAAATATGAAATAAGATGCAGTATTTCATTCTTCTGACAAAACAATTAACAAAAATGCTTTCTTCAAGAGCTAGCACATGGTTTTCATATATTTTTCCCTGTTGAATGAGAGGTGTATAGATCCTTTTTTTTTAAATTAAATTATTATTACTGGATGCATCATTACTTTTGGACTCTTCTCAAGACTCCATTTATCTTTCTTCCAGCATTAGTGCAGGTTTGCTAGGCACGTAGCCAGTCTTTGAGCATGTTTTCTAAAATTGTATGCCTGAAGTCATTGTTAATGTTTGATTAAGTTGTGTGTGCAGTTTGTACTTACTTAGAGTGCTTGCTGGGAGTTTTCTGACCCTATGTAATTTAAATTGTGTAAAAGTCAAATCAATCCCCTTTATGATAGGAGAATGTGTTGAAAATGGGCTTGATTTAAATGAAGATGTGCCGTGAACTCTTAGTCCTGTGGCTTGCTTCCAGATTTTAGAGGAATGTAATGATGAGAGTTCAAAGAAGCTTTCAGCATGGCAGTTGTGCTTTATTCCAGTGGTGGCTGAGCTGCTCAGACGAAAGGAAGTTGTAACTCTCAATCACAGTCTTTTGGCCTAATACCACATGTGATTTGGGGATGCATCTGTGCTTCTTAGTCTCTTGAACTGAACCTCCTGAGCAGTACAGAAATATGAAGTGGTGCTGCTAGAGCACCAGCACTGCGTGCCACAGCGTTGCCTTTCTGAGTGGGAAATGCTTGTGCTGGTAGTGGAGCTGTGGAAAACTTCTGCTGTAGCTCCATTACACTCCGAATGAAATAGCCCTCCCTTCATAAGGAAGGGTGTCAAATGCTGTTCAGGCTGGGTGTATTAGGAAGTTAGAATTAATGTGCCTGATTTTAAATACACTTGTTCCGCTATCATTATGCCTAATTACAGCTTTGCTTATAAGCTTAACTGGCTCTTATCGGAAAGATAAAACTCTGGATCTACTTTCAAACTCAGTTAAAAGATCTTTAACTCCTTTGAAGGAAAATTGCTGGGATTTTTTTTTCTCATTCTGTCTGGCAGTTGAGAGGATATTACTTTGAATGAAGATACAAGGTCCCTTCCAACCCAGTCATTCTGTGATTTACCTTGCTGCTGGCAACTGCATTAAAAGAAGAGGATATGACTAGATCATAATTTGGTAGGAAATTAAGCCAGGAACATTTTGCAAGCATCTCTTTCTATGTACCGTGATTCCTTGCATCACACATAGAAAGCTGAGCAGACTTTCCATCAAGCTTACTTCTGGCAGTTTCTTGCTGAGATTATGGTGATGTGCTGGAGAACTGCCTTTTGACACTGGTCCTTTCACAAAGTGCTGTACTGAAGCAGGGAGATTAAATTAGTTTTCTGTTTGCTGATGGAAAAGAGATGCCTGCTGTTCAGAGCAAGATTTGTAGGTAGATGTAGTAATATCCTTTGTAAGAGAAGTAGATTTGAAAAAAAAAAATTAAACAACATATTGTGTGCTCACATTCTTCAGGCAAGCACGTGTTCCTGGGGAATGAAAAAGTTGCTGGTTTTACAGAAAAACACATCCTGGCACTGCGAGCTTCAGTACTTTCAGTGTGCTACTAAATACAGGCTATTGTGTTTAGATTTGAAAGCTGCTGTTTCTATTTCAGGTCCAAAGAAGGGCTCTATTCTTGAAATGTTATCTTATTGTTTCATGCTATAGCAATTAGTCTAATGATAGGTTATTCCCTTTAACCAGAAACTTGTCTGTTCTCTGGACCAGTGAAAATACCACCATCTCTGCCAGTGATCAGTTTAGCAGTTACAGGGTTTAATGTATATTTTTCAGACTTACAATTTATGTGCAATTTGTCTGTTAGGAAAGAAACGATACATTTCTGATCTACAAGGTAATTTTGGATGTGTCAACCAGCACTTGGATGGAAATTGTTACTTAACTTTTTGTAACTACAAGAGAAAAAGCTGACACAGAAAAAAATTATTTTAATATATTTCTTAGGTGTCTGGTATGCATGCCTGTGACTTGCAGCCAGCAATGGAGAAACTGATTCTAGTGTCTTTAGTTACCAGTGTACTTTAATGCCTTGGCCAATGATGTTTCCTGAATGTTCTTTTCACCGTAGGTTTCATAGTGTGTTATCACATGAAAAATAACTATTTAATGGATATATTTAAAATCTCTGATGTAAGTTAAAACATTGTTTTAGATTTTTCTGATCAGTGACATTTATAGTTTTTCCTATTATGGACGACTTCTTTTCAAGTGTGCAGAAATATCACATAAGTACTAACAGACTTTTCCTCAGAGGTGTGGTCCCATTTTGGAAAATATCTAGTACAGCCTTACCCTAGAAAGTTCTCAGGTCATTTCATTTCACTATTAATTTGTGAATAACTGATAGAAGATGAGCCAGGTAACACCGAAGTACCATAAGTTGTCCTCTCCCTGCCTGATGCAGCACAGATACCAGCATATTTCATGTTGATCCTTTTCATTTTCGAACCACCTGCACTTGACAGCATTCCTCAGCCAAATGAAATTTCTGTGCTCCCAGATGCTTTCTGGGATTAGGGGATGAACCTTTCAGGTTCTAAAATATCTAGCTTAAGTTGAACTGTTCAATCACTTTTCTTTTAGTATGGTGACATTCTGCTTTTGCTGTGCTGAAAGTAGATGTGTATAGCTTTTAACTTCCTCAATGCCAAGAACTTCTGAAAGAGTGATGAGTTTTTTGCCTTTTTAAAAAATTAAATATGTACCATACTTTTCGTCTCAAAGTCCTTCTCTGGAAGCACTCTGGACTCAGAAGAAGATAATATAAATACAAACAGAATGCTGTTAGAACTAGAAAATGAATTGATGTAGATTTGTGCAACACACTGTGAAAAAAGTTATGTAGGAATTGAAAAAGGTTTGGAGTAATTTCCCCCATATAATTAGGATATAACTGAGAGAATATACATGTTCTTTTTTTACTGTAAAAAAAGAAATGCATCTAGCGGAGAGAAACTGAAAATCTCAGACTTAAACAGCAGAGATCATTGCTTGTGAGCCCATCGTGTATGAATACCTTAAGGGCAAATGGTGGCTGAATGTGGATGATTGATAGGTGTGTTTTAAGGAAACTTTAATTTTAGCAAAACCTGTTAGTAGTCAAGATGAATACAGAAATCTTTAGCCACTGTGATTTAGTTTTTCCTACAAATTATTGGCCAACTATTCCAATCTGTGAGAATAGAAATGTAGTGGCAATAGGAACAAGAGCTGACATGTTCATTTTTGAGGGACTATTGCTTCATTATTTAAGCAATAGCATTGGCACAGCTTTAGACATGTCACCAGTGTTTCTAAGGTAAGCATCAATCTTCTGGTTTTTTCAGAGTTTTACAGTGTGACTTGCCAAATTACTGTTGCTCCAGGCTGAACATTTCCATATATCTTAAGCAAAGAACAATTTTTGAATCATTGTGGTATTCTGGAATTAAAGAACCAAAGCACAGAATTACAAATTAGTGTTTAAAATGCCATTTAAAAATGTTTGTGTAACTCAAAAACCCACTTTTAACTAAAACTTAAAATTTGAAATCAAATGTTTGTAACTTCTAGAAGAGTTTAATTGAAATGGGAGCATCAGATTTGTTTGGTAAATGATCAATGGTTTTGGAACAAATCTTAGTATATCATTATAATTTAAAATAATAATGACAGGTAATAAAGGAGTGCTGTAAGAGTTCTTGACCAAAAAAACATATATTAAGAATCGTACGTTTTTTGATCATGTGACAGGATAATAGTGTGAGCTGGGACCTTTAGAACTACTCTGTAATGCTTTCTA